AACAGCAATTCCTGCTGGGAGAAACCAATTCCCAGTCCCACAAACAAGCCAAGCCAAGGATCCTTCTCCCAGAGCCTCATCCCCTGAGTGTCACCCGGGGGTGCCCACAGCTGGTGCCCACTTTGCCAGGGGACCCTCAGCAGTGCCCGGGTGGTTTTCCTGCTTTCACTGGGGGGGTGTTTGTGGCCCTGCCCAAACACCCCCTTTCCCAGCCCATCCGGGAGCTGTGGAGCTCGGAGGGCTTTGCCCCTCTGGTGCATTAGGGAAAGGCGACACCGCGGCTTCCCCGCGAGGGGCACTGCGGACCTTGAAAGGGGAAAGCGGGGCTTTTATGTCGCTATTAAGTTCGAGTAAAGCCCAGTCATCAGGTTCCCCCCCCCTCCGTCCCTCTGGGGCCGTGGCATCAGATTGCTCTGCAGATAAGCCCCGAATCTGCAGGATCCCCTCCGAGCATCCTGTGCCAGCTCCGGGAGCTCCCCGGGAGAGACCAAACCCCCGAGCACCGCAGAGAGGAGGTGCTTTGCATTAGAGCCACAGCAAACCACTCGGAGCAGGAAAATCACCCTGGGTAATGTTTAGTCTCATTTAATCTAATATTGGTTGCTAATGGGCTCTGATCTCGCCCGTGTGCCCAAGGAACTCCTTCCAACTTGGCCAAGTGGTGAGATCAGCTTTTGCATCTCATTCGGAGCACTCAACACTCGATACCCGGGGAGGTCACCACGAGCTGCTTTTAAATCAAATACCCAGAGCCGAAAAGACAGGAGTTATAAACTAACACTCTTAAGATTTTATTTATTTCCTACTAACTTTAAAAATTATAGCAAGCATAAAGAGATGGACAAGGGCATGCAGTAGAAGGGGTAAATATTGAGGAAAAGGCTTGTTTAAGTTTTCCCCGGGCTTTCTATTTATTTGTTTTTAGAAAGTCTCAGGACACAGCATAAATATTAACCTGATATTAAGAAGGGGTGTGAGAACTGTTTAGTAGCAGAAACCTTTCAGATTTTGTTCTGCTGAATTTCAGACACCATTAAAAACACTGCATTAAGGAAAAATAAATTATTTAGGCTTCTTACTGGGACTGAAAGGGACACAACTGCTTTTATCCAAAGAAGCATCCTCCCATCACAGGTGCTAATGAGACCAATGATTAAAACTGTCTCAAGTTTTACTGTTCCACAGTTTTTTCACACATTCATTTCGCTCTACACTGTGATAATTTTTTCCCAATTTAATTCACACAGTTTTCAGCTGTGTTTAACTTTGTCAAATTGCAATTGCAATGCTGCTCACAGCATTGAAATATAAGTTGGTGATATTCATCGTGCTTATAATACATAGACCAGCCTTTTTAGTATAATAGGTCGTGTGGCTCTAACATGTAGAGCACTGGAAAAGCAGTCTTGTGAAATTATGGTTGAAATTACAATAAAGATCATAGACCCAAAATGTAATAGAAGTAGAATAAAGGGATTAAAGGGATCATGTTTTATATCAGCCTAATTTTGAGTCAGATTATCTAGATTTGTGACCAGTTTGATTTAAACATTGGATTAACAGCAGAAGGAAATATCTAACTTGAGCTGGTCTCTACTTTACAGACATTTTCAGTGTTGTATCTCTTTCTCCACTTTCCACAGCTGAAAATGATCCTGTTTCCATACAAGAGTTCCCTGGAAATCACTTCTGCTCCCCATTCCCAAACTGGCTCTAGAGCCCAGACATACCCTCCCAGGTGCTCCCTCAGGCAGAGGGGCTGGCAGGAGGTTTGGGGTCACTGCTGAAAGCTCAGCCCAACTTCACTGCAAGTTCCTTCTCAGTATGGGAAAGTTCAGACAGACTTTCAGTGAACCCAAGATGAATTTTGAGCCCCCAGAGGACACAGGGGCTGGGTGAGTGTGAAGTTTTAGGGTTCATTAGCACAGGGAAAGTCCTGAGAAATGGCCAAAACCCCCGAAATCTGGCCCAGCCTCCTCCTCCCACCAGCCACTACCTGCCCAGGTGAAACCCATTTTCCCTGTTTTTAAACTCCCTTTTTATGGCCCAGTCCCCTCAGCCAGGCTCTGCTCTGGGTGCCAGGCACACCGAGCAGGAATCTCTGCATGAGACGCCCTAATTGGCAGCAGAGCCCTGGCCTGGCCAACATCTGCAGCTGGTTTTGGTGATAATAAATCAGGGCTGGGGGGGCTCGGCGTGGCAAACTGCCAAGGAGCTTTCCTTTCCCCAGTTAGCCAAGAAATAGGAAGACAACAGGGAGGACTGGGGCAGCTCTGGGTAGTTAGAGAGCAAAATCCAGTCAGATACGTCCCCAGCCAGCCATCAGCCTCCAAACTTTCTAAGAAACAAGCTGGACCAGCCAACAAACGTCTTTTTTCAGCACTGAGCAGCAACTTGTCCAGGAACCCCCAAAAACATCATTAAACCAAGGGCATGAATGCTGGAGCAGTTCCTTCTCGGGAATGAGGGTTCCCACCCCGGTCCTGGGAGGGTTTTGGAGCTGCCTGAGCTCGTGGTGCTCTGTGATCACCCAACACTCACTGCAGACACCCCTGCAGGTCCCTTTGCAATCAGCAGGTTGGATGCTCAGCCCCAAAGGCTGGATTTCTCCAGGTGCCTGGAGCACTGACAGCTCAGTCCTCCTCTCAAACAGAAACCAGGGGTGGGAGGGAATCCTAGTTCAGAACAGGGAAATCCAGACTCTGAAAGAAATAACAATCAAAGGCTGGAAGAGTTGACTGAAACCACTAAGAAACCCAGAGTTGTGGCTGACAGAACTGTTCATTTAAACATTGCTGAGTCTTTCCTGCTGATCCTGGCAGCACAGTTTAATATTAAGTTTTGGGGTGAGGTTTTTTAGGTCAGGTTGCTGTGGCACTGGGTGATGAGGCTGCAGAGGCCAAGTCCCTGAGCTCTGCTCATGGCACATTCCCACCCCCACCACTCAAGGAGCAGGAACTGCAGACTCTGCCTTCCAAGGTGGCTGGTGCTGCATCAATTCAGTTTGAAAAATTATTTCTACCGAGATCTTTCCCTCCCCAGAGTGAGCCAAAGCCTCGACTCTCAAGGCTGCCTTCATCCCACCCCTCTCTTTGCACTAGAACAGCTCTGCACCCTTGAAAGTTTAAGTCATTTTTGGACCATCCTTTACCATTCCACCCATCAGATATTTAAGGCACTTTTTGATCTCCTTTCAACCATCACATCCAGTTCCCCCCAGTCCTTCCTTCAGCCTTAGCACTTTGCCACCTCACACTGCTCTCTCCTGCTCCCCACCACAGCCCCACTACTGCAGGAGTTATCTTCCACAGGGAACATCCACCTCATTTGCAAGGTCACAGTTATTTTAGTCTGAATCCAGTTATGGAACAAACCACCCCACTCCAGTGTAAAATCCCTAAAGAACAGTGACAAGTGGTTCACTTAGGGGAGAATTTAGTCCTTTCAAACCAGCAAAAATCATTAGCCCAATTAATTCATCTGCCCCTTAATGAGATGCCACCTTCAACAACCACAGCCAGGTATTTCACTGCTTGGAAATGGGGATCCACATTTGCCAAGATAATATCTGGCAGGAAGTATTTCTTGAGTTTATTTAAGCTTTAAGATCTATGGAAGGAGCCGTGCACAATATCCTGTTTGAAGGCATTTCTAATTTAAATTAATGACCTGAAGGATATCTCAAGGCAATAATGATCTTATTGTACCAAATCCCACAATAGCTGAGGTGAATTATAAATTCCTCTAAGTGATTTAGTGGTTAACATTCCAAATCACAGCCACCCGACGTGACGCTTGGAGTTCCAGCACCAGATTAGACAAACCACACAGGCTGTCCTCAGCCTCCCTGCCTGGTTTGGAACAGGCAGGGAAAAGGGTTCTCCTGAGCCAGTGGGAAGCAGAGCAGCCCTGGGGGTGACTGGAGTTCTGGGAAGGCACCTCATTCCCAACACTTGGCTTGGCAGAGGTGCTGGAGCAGCCGAGCAGACACCAGGCAGGGAGGGGAGCTCACCCACGGGGTGGGACCTGCTCCCCCCAGGGACAACTGGAGGTTTGTCACCGAGTTATGAAAAGCACAATTTGGCTAAATGAGGAAAAAAAAAGTCCCTTTTTTCCCCCCGAAAATGCTCATGGCACAAGCCCAGCTGCTCCCGGGAAGGGTCGTTCCCGCTCCGGTGACGAGCTGCACATTTGTAAGTCCATCTGTCACCGGTAAACAGAACACACTGGAAAATAAGATGGATAAAATTTCCCTTTGAAAAGGCAGAGAACCAAATTGCCCCTAAAAAAGGGCTTTCAGCAGCTGAGAAAAGCAGTCTGTTATTTCACTCACAGGCCCAACTGCACACGAAGCAACAGGTCAGGACTTGCATCTCAAACTTGTTCCATACACAGGAGCACACAGGTCTTGCCCACTGTGTAATTCAAGGGATTTCTGTACACTTGGAACAGCCTATTTTATACATCATCTGCTTTTCTCAAATTCTGCCCTTTCTTATTGCATTCAGGATGCCATAAACAGTGAACTTACTCCAAACATAGCTCCATTTTAAGCCCTAAATATTATTAGTACTATATTTTGTGCTCTGTTATAAACCTGAATGGCACATCAAGCTGTAAAATGTGTTAGTAAAAGTATTAGTAAACCCCACAATCCCTTTCCAAGTGAAATCTCCCCAGTTTGCTGTTGGGATACCTGACTGGGAGGAAGGCAGTGTTTTCAACTCCATTTCCTTTTGAGCTGAGCAGATTTGTTTGAACCCCTAATTCAAACCACAGCTTGACCTTTCCCTGCCCACGTGGCAAAAAAAAACCCCCCACACCCAAACCACTGGTGCCAGTGTAAGTAAATCACCAGTACTTAATTAATTATTACCAAGTACCTTGGAGAAGAGGAATGGTTCCTCTGGGTACAGGACATCCCAACAGTGAGTGGTGACCTCTCTGCTCTCCTCATGCCCCAGAACATGGAGCCAGCTCAATACACAGGGATACTGGTGTCTACTGGTGTTGTACTACTGGTAATGGGTAATTTATTTCCCCCTTTCCAGTGTACACTTTATTATTTTAAGGCTCTTTTCTCAGGGACAAGCTTCACCTCCCATTATTTCTAGCTTGTACCCAGCGCTGAAAGCCTGAAAAAAAAAATGATAAATTAAATGAGAAGGAAATGTTTAAGGGTTCCTATTCATAACAAAAATACTTAAGGCAGCTTGGGCCATGAATCTTCCACGAGCAAGTTGAGATGCACATAAAGGACCTGATTCAGAAGAGAAGTGTGGAGGACGTTGGTGGATGGCTGCTGCTCCTGGGATTTATGGGGGTGGGAGCTGGTATGTGGGGAGAGTCCAGGCAGGTAATTAGTTCCTTGCAGAACTCAAGATGGAGTTGGCTTTTCCCAACTGTTCAAAGGCTTTTCCCCCAAGCAGTGGGTCAGCTCTGAGCAGCTCTGCCTCACGTGGGCTGGGGGCTGCACTCAACCACTGGGTGAAGATTAATGAGTGACCAAGCCCTGCTTTTCTGTCAGCACAGACACGTGCATCTAATTAAAGGATTCAGAGAGCTGGCAGCAAAGTCCCAAGGTGTTCTCCAAAGCCACCCAAAGTTTGTGTTTGGTTTAATTTCCCAGTTATGCCCAGTTAATAGGGATTAACTCCCAAACCTCATTTACCTTTTTCTACGTGTGTCAGCTCTGGGGTTCACGTAGTGGGGAAACTGCTCCATCCATAAATCCTGGGGATTTGAATCATGTGTTTACCCATGGAACAGGAACAGGCCTGGACTGTGGCACAGAGGTGCCCCTGTCATCATGTCTCACTGACACAGGGACCACCTTTTGCATTAAATCCCCATCACTTGCCCTTCCAGCTACAAGGATTTTCAATAAATACCAATTCCTGCCAACAAACCAAGATTCTGGGGTTTTTTTTAGTCACCAACTGGACCAGGATCATCCCTTTTTGCATAAACAAACAAAACCAAGCAGAAATTCTACAAGACTGGAGGGGGGTTATGGACAGAAATGTTTAAAGTTCCTTTTCCAAGCTGGTGAAGATCCAGCAGCTTCTTTCTACTGGTGCATCTCCAAGAGCAGAAAGGTTCTGCTCACAACCCTTCCCAGAAGTCCTGCCACGAAGGGAAGCTCCTTTCCCTTGGCACAGTTCCTTACACAGCCAGGGGATAACACGTTTTCATGGGCAGTTCACTCTGAACTGGGACAAAAAGAGCCTGAGAAGTCAAAGTGCAGGTTGTGAGAGGGCAGAGCTGAGTGTGACAGCCCGGGCTGGGCAACCAGAACTGGAGCCAGACTGAGCCCACGTTCATCAGCCACGGCTGGGCTGCTGCTGGGGGGGAAGAAAACAGCCTTTAAGCCTTGCTTTAAATGCTGAAACATATTCACCCTTCATGTGAGCCACCTCAACACTCAGCTGGGTGAGCAGCAAGCCCTTCATGTGCAATATCCCCCAGCACCCAAATTTGCCTGCACTTTCAATTATCCAGACAATAATGAAAACATGTTGGCGGGGCGAGCGTCAGGTTACAATCACAAATTCTTACTTCAATAACAGCCATAAAACAGAGACCCAAAGCATGTTTTTTTGCTTTTTTTCCAAACATTAGCAACTCATCTGATACTTAGTCCAAGGATCCAGTTTCCTGCAAGCTGATGACATGTGAGACCACAACCCTGAGGCTGATATTAAATTATACATATATACATATATAAATATACAGAGAGAAAACCTGTGAAATTACAGACACAGATGTGTTATTGGTGTCATAATTTTTTCCCATTAAACACCGTATTAGGTTTATCCCCTTTCTATACTTGAAAATCTTCACATATAAAAGATGAATAGCAACTTCTCAAGGGGATCCCTGTGGTTTAACCTTGTTACAGGAGGTCAAACACAACACACAAACTATATTGGTACAAAGATGACTGTAAAATGGAATTAGCCTTTTGCTCCCCGTTCCAGTGGGGAGGAAGCCAACTTTCACATCTCTGAACCACTCCTGCTCCAGCACCCCAAAAGGACTCAGGACACTGGTCTTGGAAAAGCACATTTTGTAGGGGAAGGACCAACAGACATGACAGAGATATATATACACACACACATATATATATATGAGACAGAGACACTACCAAGTGGAATCCAAAGAGAAATATCAAACCAGGATTTTCCCACAGTGCCCTGGGTACTGTATCCATTGGGATTTCAGAAGGAAGAACTTCCTTCTCCCCCAGCTGCTCAGCAGGCAGGACATCTGCAGCCCTTGTGAATCCCCCAGCCCTAGGAACAGAAACACAGAGCATCAGAACTCCCAGAGAAGACACCAGCAGCAGCACAATAAAGATCTTCATGATTTCTCCTTGGCATTTTCATGACAGAATTCATGTAGAACATAAAAAAAGCACAAGGCATGTTTACTGGATGTTTTATAGTTCAATAAAACGTAAATAAACAGCTTTTTAGATCAAAGCTACAGAAATAAGGAAGCACTGTGGCTTCTGAGACCTGACCAATATATCACATCACCTGAAGTTGAAAGAAGCACTCCTGGCACTCCTGCTTTCCTCTGGAGCAATCCCACCTTCAAGGCACCGTGCCCACCCTCCATCTGACCTCAGGGACTTTACCAAACAAGTACGACTGTGCTATTTTCAGTTTTCAGAGTGTCCTGTGAAGCCTTTTGGGATGAGACTTTGAGGTTTTATAAATAAACTAATAAAAAAGGAGCAATCGGTAACATTTCCAGGAGGGCTCAGGATGGATTTTCTGTGTGTTCAGCACCACTGTCCAAGCGCTGAGCTCATCCCACAACATGAGGACCAGTCCAAAAACCCAGCTTTCCTTGAAAGATTGTTGCTTTGGATGCAGTCCTGGCCTTTCTGAGCAGCACAAGTCACTCTAAATCCCACACCAAAAGAGAAGCCAAGCTCTCTCCAGACTTTCACCTCCTCATGGATACACACCTTCCTTCTCTGCCTTTCCTGTGTGTTGGATGCAAACCTGAACCTGCAGGCAGGAGGATGACTGGGTCCCAGGGGGGTCTCACTGGTTTTACTCACACTGGTTACCTACATGTGAGTGTTGGTGGATTGGGATTGCATGTGATGCCACCAACCCCTGGAAACACAGATGGACCAATGTCTGGCTCAGTCATCCCCAAATCCAAGTCCTGACATAGTTTGGTTCTATCCTGAAAAACCTTTTCCCTCTCAGCTCAAAGAAGCAGCACATGATGTCACACAGGGGGACTTCTGCTGCAGACTCTGGGTTGCCCCAGAACACACTTGGTGCTTCCCTGCACACATATTCCAGGATCCTGTGGGGTTTGCTTTCCCATTGCTGCCAGAAAACGTGTGGCCTTTGAGCATTCCTGGTGCTCATGCCCTGGTCTGTGCCCTGCTCTGCCATTTACATCGTGTTCTTTGCATGGCTATAGGCTTTTGCAGTTATTTTGGTCCCACATCTCCTAATATGGGGTGGTGGGAACTGAAAATACCACACAGAGTTCATCTGGGTATGTATTTATTAATCTGATGCCAGAGTATTGCTGGCCACTCCTAAAAATACTTGTGTGCCCACCAAGACCAGGGCACCCCTTAAAGAGAACTAAACCAAAGCAAAACCCTCCAGGGAGGCACCTTCGCCCAGGCACACCCCCAGACACCCCCAGACACCCCCAGACACCCCCAGACATGCGGGGCTGTGACCCCAGGGACACTGATGTGTCCCTCCTGAGGCAGAATGGAGACCTCCTGTGTGCCCTGGAGCTCCCGGGTGCCAGGGGGGCACAGGAGAGCCTCGGGGTGCAGAACAGAACCCTTTGGATCACCCTTGCAGCTGCAAGGCATTGCCAGAGCACAGAGTTCTGCCTCTTCCACCAGAGCACTGGGGTTTGCACCAGGAAACCCATCCTGCTGTCCGGGGGGAGCAGCACATTCCAGGGCAGTCACCAAAAGTCTGGTCAACCCAACTTAGAGGGGTCAGGGAATTGTGGGGGTTTGGAGACGTGACCCTCAGGTCAAGGCCAGGCTGGAGGGGGCTCTGAGCAGCCTGGTCTGGTCAGCAATGTCCCTGTTCCTGGCAGAGGGAGTGGACCAGGTGACCTTCGAATGCCCCTTCCAACCCAAACCATTCCACGACTCCACAGCTCTCACAGCCAGGCCAAGCTGATGGGCAGCCCTCGATGGGTTGGAAAAGTCTCTGTTTGGGGAGGATTCTCCCCTGGGCTGAGGCTCCATCTGTGTGTCAGCACAGCCCACAGGGACACAAACCCCTTCCTGCAGCAGCTTCTCAGTGACTCAAACGTGTCTAAACAGCAAATCCCTCCGAGTCCCGGCCCTGCTCCAGCCCCAAGGATTCCCAGGTCACGCTCACTCACAGAGGGAACAGCCCTTTCCCTGCCTCTGTGGTGACTGTGCCCAGCACCTGAAGGCCAGGCTGGGCTTTTTCTGCCTCACACATCATCACCCTCCTCCTCAATTAACTGGCAAGGCTGGTGATGATGCGTGAGGCCAAACAGAGCCCAGCCCGAGCTGCCAGGGATGCCTTGGCTCCGGGTGCTGACAGGGCTGCAAAAAAACTCCAGGCCAGTCTGAGAGAGCTGGATCCCGAATCCCTGCCCAGGGGTTGAGCTGCAGGAGCAGACAGGAGGTGGTGGGAGGCACAGGGGGGTGGACCATGACCAGGAGCTTGCCTGCAGCACTGCAGGGTGTGGGGGACAGGAGGGTCCCTCACCTGCCTGGGAACCCCCTTTCCCAGCCCCTGTCCCTGCCGTGGGTGACTCAGGGGGTGTCTGTGCTCAGTCCTGCCTGTTCTACCACAACACCAGGGTGGTCAGTGGGTGTCCCCCGAGCCTGCTGTGGGGAACACATGTGGCCACAGGGGACACACAGTGGGTCAGGTAATGCAGGGGAAGAAGAATTCCATCTTCTCCTTACATTTTCCTGAGCCAGCCCACGGTTCTGGAGCAGCATCAGTGCCCAGTCCAGCAGCGTGGAGGAGGCACACTCTCCTGCATCCACCCCAGTGCTGCAGACAGACCAGGTTGTCCCTGTGCACACCAGAGTGGGTAATTTTATCCCAAATGTGCCTGTCTAAAAATATCTCACTTCTGTGTTTTTTGACCATATGCCCAGGATCGTGAAAATTTTTCCGTAGGAAAAAAAAAAAAAGCTGAAAAAACCCCCTTAAACCCATAACATCTTGGAATGATTTGACCACTTTCTTCTCAGGACATTCTCTCCTTTTTATACCATGATGGGGTTTCTCCTGAATTTAAAACATCAATTTGGCCTAACATGAGGAGAGTGTTCATTCTTCCAAACCGTAAAGATCAGAGACTATAAACTGTTGTTTCTTAAATGTTTCATGGCAAAAGGCATTCAAAGCGTAACATTAACACAAAGTTTTTCTGTAAAACAATCTGGGAAGTGTAATCTCTGTAAGAGGTTTTTTATGCACCATGGCTAATTGTTCCTGACAGTATGATTTTACATCAGGCCTTTTTTTGTAAATTCAACACCATTGGAACTTTATGGCAGGTAATATTCCTTACAACTCCTAAAATCCTCACCGTGTCTAAATTAGTGTTGCAGAATCATGTTTTGGGTGTTTTGGTTGGTTTTTTTTAACTACAAAACACTGGGAGCAAATTCTCTCCCACCTTGCAGTTGTAGCACTGGAGACAACTTTATGGAATTCTTCCACAGAGGGTTCTACAAGGAGCTTTTACACCTTTTGTGCACACCAAGGTGCACTGTGGTGGGCCAAGGGCTCTGCCTGGAGCTGCTGGGCCATGGGACACATCAGCCTCTGCAGCAGAAGGGGTGGAGGAGGATGGAAACCCTTCCAGCCTTTGAGGCTGAACACGTGGCTCCTTAAAATGCAAATTCTAAACCTGCTTTCAAATGGCTGTGTTTGAAATGTCACAATTTCCCAGAGCCTGGCTCGGGGTTACCTCACCTGCACCAAGCCCAGGCTGCCAACACGGGTTTTTCCAAGTGGTCACCAGAAGGCATTTCATAGGGTCATGGAATGGTTTGGGTTGGTTGGAAGGGAACTTAAAGATCCTCTTGTTCCAACCCTGCCACGGGCAAGGACACCTTCCACTTGCCCAGGTTGCTCCAAGCCCTGTCCAGCCTGGCCTTGGACACTCCTGCTGTCTCTCTAACCAGTGCTGTTCCATTCCCCAGGGATTTACTCTCATCCACACCTTTGGGCTCAGTTTATACAGCCCGTGGTGCAGCCTGTCCTGCCAGGCTGAGTGACCTGTGCATGGGCCTGGCTCACATGCACACACACCCACCAAAAATGTCCTTTCGACCACTGTACCTTATAAAATATGGGTTATAAAAACTTTATGGAGCCTGTTCCTCCGAGGGGCTCATTCCAGAGCACAGTATGCAAACCCAGCTCTTTATGGCAGAGAAAGGGCTCGGTCTGTGCCGGGGCCCCGCAGGAATCAGAAACAGGATCGGGCTTCCAAAGGGACCACACAGCCCTGCCAGGGCTGCTCCCAGGGCAGCGACTGGAGCTGGGCCTGAGGCTCACTGACAAGGCAGAAAACACTGGTTCTTTCTGCCTGGAATTCCTCCTCACCCCACCCATGAGCAGCTCCCTCCCAAAGGTCAGAAAGAAGGTGATGGAATCAAGAATGGGCCTTTGACAGGCACCACAGAGGGACAGCAATTCCAGAGAACCACGGGCAACCTGGAGCTGCCTTTGCCAGAGACAAAATTCCTCACCTGAGGTGGCTTCACCCAGCTCTGGGTCACTCTCAGCCAGGAGGGAAGGGAGCTCCAGAGGATTGTTGGGAGCACATGGACTGATCTCCTCCAAAAAAGGGGAATTAGACTCCCGGCAATTCCTGTACCTGAGCATAGCAAGAGCAATAATAAATGCTCAGGGTGTGAAAGTTATGAAAATTAGAGAGTAAATGGGGGTCAATACAGTGAATATATAAAACAATTTACGTGGGGGCTCAGACCAAATCAAAATAGTTCCAGCTTTTTTTCTCCACCCACCCACCCACCCACCCACCCACCCATCCATCCATCCATCCATCCATCCATCCATCCATCCATCCATCCCCTAAACACTTTCACTGGGGTTCCATCCTCTGTTTGTGCCTCCTCTTTGCTCTCTCTGGAACTCTCCCACCACGTCCCCTTAGAGCCTTTCCCAGGATGACCCTGACCTGCTGCAGTGACCTCCTGCCCCCCCTGCTTTCAAGTGTCGGTCTCAGCTTTGCCTCAGCCATTGAACCCAACTCCTGGTTTGAAGATCTGGCAAACAGGACACAGCAGGTGCTTCTGCAGGTGCAGCTGCTTCTAAAATGACACCGACTGAGTCTGAAATGCTTCTAAAATCTACACTATTATCTGCACCCTGTATTACAGACTCACTGCTGGCTTATGTCTTGGGGCTATTCTGGGATAACTGAGGCATTTGTTTCCGAAGAGAACAAATTTGGGTCCTGTTCTACAGACAAACCAGCTCTAACCAGCAAAGCTCTCCTGGCACACGATTTAATCTCACCACTTTTCATGGGACTTCAGCTCCCACTTGACCTTGCAGAGGAAGGCAGCAGCAGGGACTGAAGGAAGAATTTCAGGCTGCGAAACCGAGAATAAGAGAACACCAGCACCTTCTCCAGGGTCACCTGCCTGCGGTCTCTGCAAAGATTAAACAATCTTATGGTAATTCTGCAGGATAACATGGACAGTTACACAGAGTCCCAAAGGCTGCTGAACTCCAGGGCTGTTCAGGTGCCTTTCACTCAATGCTTACAACTTCTAACTGAAAGTTGATGTGAACCTGCTGCTGGACCTTCACTCTCTGACCACATCCCCCCAGGGCAGAGCTGCCAGCCCAGCTGTGGTGCCTCCTCCTGCCCCAGCTCCTGACTTACCTGACTGGAAGCAGTTGAAACTCTCCTCTGATGGGTTCCTGAAGGACCACTCACACCAGCAACATCCCCGGGGTTCTGTGGCACAGTGATGCTAAAAAAGATCAGTGATAACAAAGAACACCACTAATGACAATATTACAGAGGCCTTCCTGCTTTACTCTCATTCCTGATCCAGACTATTAATTTGGGTGATCTGGACTAGTTCACCCCCAGATTTGTTTTACACTTGTTCAGCAAATCACTTTCCTTGGCACAGACTTGAATTATTCATTATAATTTTTTTTTCTAGGATGGAGAAGTTACTAAAAGGTTTCTTTCTTGTATAAAGCATTTTCGTGTTTGAGTATTAATTTTTAAAATCTCCTGTAAATCCACAGTACTTTGCAGTTGTTTGCTTTAGCCCTTTGCAGATTTATCATTAAAGCTTGGGAGTGTGCACGCACAGGCACACACATCTATATAAACTTATACAAGTAGATGTTCACATACTTAGTCCTGTTCTTTTTACAGTGGCTCCCCAGGCACATGTGTCAGCCTTCCAACATCTGTCCTTCTTGAAAAACACCACTCAGTGTCTGCTGAGCTGAAGGTGGACAAGAAATCTCTATAATTTCAGGCCCGGAGTCATTTTTAGTAGAGGAAAAAGTCCTCTACAAGTCCAGAGGTCCATTCATCATTATCAGGTGAACACATCCATCCATCTCACTGGGGCACCTTCCCTGGCACCTCATTTGGGAGGGAGATAGCAGGATTTTTGGTGGTGCAGTAACAAATACCACAAAATATACCATTAACATTGTGTGCAGCATTAAGCCCATACTGATTTCTTGGCCAGGGCTCAGACAGACACAGGGCAGCACTTCTGCTTTGTGTGCCCACTTCTGCTGGGAAATGGAGTATTTTAAAAGCTTCAGCAGCTCCATGAGGTCACTGTAGCTACAGAAGGCTGTAAAAACTGCCTGGGTTGATGGTTCAAGCAGCCACAGGTCTTTCTCATTACAGAACAGATATAACTCTATGAAATTATTATAATAATAACATCATTTATTTCAACAGGACTGAAGCAAAAAGGCTTTATGATAGTGTTTTATATGCAACATGTGCACTATAAATATTTCCATAAAAATATGCATTAAAATATAAAGTTGGCAGAAAGAAATCAAAAGTCATGAGGAAAAAAAAAAAATCCAGTTAAAGAAGCATTAAACCATAAGCCAAGGAGCAGTGAGCAGAGAGCCCCTGCCAGTCAGGGCAACAGGCTGCTCTTTCTCTGCTTTCAGCTACTTCCCAGCACAAAGGAATGAGCCAAGATTCCATGGAGAAAGTCCCTGACAAACTCACACTCACTTCCCCAGCCCGTCACTCCTTCCTCCTGGGAAGGTCAGTGCAGGCATCACAGGATCACAGAACGGCTGAGGTTGGAAGGAAACTTAAAACCCACCTTGTTCCACCCCCCTGCCGTGGACAGGGACACCTCCCACCAGCCCAGGTTGTTCCAAGCCTGGCCTTGCCCTCTTCCAGGGATGGGGAGCCCATGGGAGGGAGCAGGTGGCTGAGGCAGAAGCTGAACCCAGACCTCAAAGAGCACCAGGAGACCATCCAGGGCTGCCTTTGCACTGCCTGACACAGGACTCTGCCTGTGCAGGGCTCTCTGATCCTGCCAAGTGCAGTTCTGCTCCACACAGATCCCTGTTGTGATCCCTGTTGTTTCTGAAGGAACCTCTGCCTTTCTAGTCCATATCAGGCAGAAAGTCCTGCACCCTGAGCTCTCTCCTGCTCTCCCTCCTTCCCTCTAAACACCAGTTTAGGGGGTCACAGTTATTGGTCCCTTCAGGCTTCAAATACAGAATCATGGAATACCCTGAGCTGGAAGGGACCCCCAGGCATCATCCAGTCCAACCCCTGACCCTGCACAGACACCCCAACAATCCCACCCTGTCCCTCAGAGTGTTGTCCAAACCCTCCTGGAGCTCTGGAGCCTTGGGGCTGTGCCCACTGCCCTGGGGAGCCTGGGCAGTGCCAACCACCCTCTGGGGGAAGAACCTTTTGCTGAGATCCAACCTGAGCCTGCCCTGGCACAGCTCCAGCCCTTCCCTGGGTCCTGTCCCTGCTCACAGGGAGCAGAGATGGAGCTGCCTCTCAGGAGGAAGCTGCAGGCAGAGAAGTTGTGAAGTCTCCCCTCAGTCTCCTCCTGGATCACCAGAGTTCAGCTCCTGAACATATAAAACATGGATAAATCCAACAAAGGCACGGAAAGGAGCCCAGGAGCTGCCAGGTCCCCCCAGGTCTGTGCAGCCCCGTGGGAGCTGGAAGGCTCCAGGGTTTGGCTGCCAGCCCCCCAGGCACTGTTTACACCAGCAGCACCCACACAACACAATCCTGCTTCCCAGGCCAATTCTGCTGTAATACATCATCCCCCAGCAGACTTGTCAGATTGGTTTGTCTACAAATATGTTCACACTTGGAAATATCTGCCTTCTGTGAGCAGCAATCCATTAAACATGCATCTCTCTGGTTTTCCCATCTTGCTCTCTGTACATAAAATCAGTTCTCTTCTTTTGTCCCCAGTAAATGCCTATTCCACATTTTTGCATGTTTTAAATATTCACGCATACGAAAGAAGCTGTAAAAACATCGCATGGCTTATTTATTATTTAGTGCACACACTTTTTGCTGCAGAATACCAAAATAAAAAGACATTTTAGTCAATTTTTTTTTCGTTCCCTTTGTATTTCATTTCCATTACTCTGCTCGTTAAAGTTTAAAAACTACTTTGTTCCCTGACAGTCGGGATTTACGTGTCTCTGAGCCAGGGAACACATTTGTACCTGCTGGGGCAGTGGCAGAGGTGGGGGTGAGACACTGAGGGAACTTTTGGCTCCTCACCCGAGGGTGCAGGGAAGCTCCAACCCCGCTGCTGTGGTTGCTGGAGCTGCAGAGTTCCCCATGTCCCTCAGTGGTAAATTATCTTCACCCTCAGACACGTGCACACCAGTTCCTGTTATTTTTACAACTTCTCCACTCTCCACAAACCCCTCATTCACTCCAGGAATCACCTGTACAGAAAATCCCTGGCTGGCTGGAGCTCCCTGTGGCATCAGAGAGTGGATTTAAGCTTTCCAAGCACCCTGAACAACCCCCCAGCACTCACAGGAGGTGGGAAGGGTGCCACCACGCCATGGCAGAGATGTTGTCCACCCAGCAGGCACAGCCAGGGAGGCTTCCTCGTGTCCTGACCCGAGGAGACCACCCATGGGAGTGGGCTCTGCCTCCGTGGTGCTTCCCCAGCTCTCCTGGCCACTAATCCCTCTCCAGCCCTGCCAGGAGGTCCGGGCACCTTTCCATCAGGAGCTCCAGTGGGCCCAGGAGCTGTGCTCACACAGGTCACTCAGCAGGCAGAGCTACCAACCTGGGTTGCAGTCAAAGCACTGGCCCAAAGGACTGGCTGGGCTTCCAAGGGACGTGGAAAGAGCTGGATCTTGTCACCGATGCCGTAAAAAGCGCCTTGTTTTTCAGAGAATGGTCCTTGCTCCTGGATCAGGTGGTTGGGAGTTTGTTCCCAGGGACAGGCTGCAACAGCACACAAGGAAGGGCAGTGCAGGAGGGTTTAGCATATTTATATGATATTTTATAACACAGAAGTTTAACAGCACATTGTAAAGCACCTGAAACGTGCTGCACAAACACATTATTGTGTCTTGTGGAATATAATCATGTCTTGCCAGGGAGCTGCACCAGGGAATTTAAAATACACTTTCTGTTATTTTAATCTGGGAGTTTTGCACCATTTCCCCCTCCCCCCCAGAATTTGCATAGCCTTTCTGTTCCTGACTCTGAGACATGCACACATCCCTGCACACACAGGGAGCCTTGCCCCCTCTCCCAGCAAGAAGCTATTTCCTGATAACAGGGAACACCATCATTCCAGGCAATTCAGATGCACTGATATGAGACAAGTCACCCAAGGTCCCCAACCTTACAGTGGGATGGGAGAGGACGTGACCAACTTCACTGATTCCAAGGAATGCCATTATTAAATCCACGGAGCCGAGCTTGAAACGAGGGAGGATTTTCCTTATGGCCACATCCTGTGTTCAAAGCACAACAGGCATTTTCTGGGACATTCTCCTCACTTATGACTTTCTAATTTCCCTCAAGGTATTGACTGGGGGGCTCAGGAGTCTCCTCACTAACAGGTGAGGCAGAATCCTGCCCGGGTTAAATGTTAAGGGCAGCGTGGCACTGATTACCCAGGGACAGCATAATTACACATCAATTGGTGCACAAGGGTATTTAGAAGGTGGGATGTCAGTGACCTCC